CCTCATTCTCTCCCTAAGACAATGCGCTTAAAAAGCAAATACAGTTTAATATCGTGTTTGCTGATTCAAAATTGAACATTTTGCAGTCAATTCAATAAAATGAAATATTCCAATCTGGGTCAAATTGACCAAAATAAAATATTTCATTTGGATTTTCCTGATGGAAAATTTGATTTTTTTTTATTTTTATTTTTTGGTAATCTACCTAAGGCTACTTAGTGTTATCAGTATGTATGCCTTTATTTGCAATGCAACTAACAAGAGAGATTACACATGTAATGTAATGGAGCACATCCGATGCATGTATCTGTCTCGCTTGAGCAGATTATGCAATACAATGATGGGCTAGGGTGGAGTGCACTGTATTACTCTATCCTCCTCCTGCTTGATTGCTTCATATCTGTGCTTGTGCACAGAAACTGTCAGTTCTCTGTAATGTGAGGAAGAGAACTCAATAAGACGCTCTATTGCCGAAGCACAATCTGCACTCTCAATAAATAACGCGTGTAATTCTTAGCAAGGGGGCCTGGAGTTCACTACTCAGGGCAGATTCATTTAAATCCCTATTGTATGGTGAAATTGAACTTCTTTTTTGGAGTCTATCATCATTTTGGGCAGAGGGTGATGGGGGTGGAATCCAGTTTTGTTTTGTTTCTTCATATATTGTAGGATAGATAATTTGGACAGGTCTCTTCCCTCCCCCGATAGCAAACAAGATGAGGTGTCGGGGATGTTACCGTCGGGTGTACTCTGTGAAGGACAGGCATATCACGGAGTAAAATATAGCAGTGATTGGTAAAACAGAGGACAAAACTGTAGCGGGGTAGGAGATGCATCTTTCTGGAGATGTGATCGGTTTCAGAAGGGTTACATTCAATTCTGTTTAACTGTGATGGGCAGACTTTCTTCCAATCTAGACAAGAACCTCAGCTCACCTGGCAGTATCTGTTGTTGTAGTTATTCGTTTGCATTACAATAGCATCTACAGACCCAACCAAGATCAGGAGCCCATTGTGCTAGGTGCTGTACTCACATATAGTAAGAGGCAGTCTCTGTCCTGAAGCGCTTACAGTGATAGACACAAAGAGGTGAAACAACTTGACCAAGGTTACAGAGGAACTCTGTGGCAGAGGTGGGAATGAAACCTAGCTCTCCTGCCTCCTGTACCTGGTCCATTGGAGCACACTGCCTCTCAATGTGTTTTGTTGCTGATCCAAAGCCCAATGACATCTATATGGAAAGGCTCCTGCTGACGTTACTGGGTTGTGTCTCAGCCTCACTGTCTGTATTACGGCTTCCTATTTGGTCACAGCTGGGCTGATGATATTTTTGACACAAAATAACCTGCCTGTCAAGGAAGAGCAGCAAGGGGACATAGGGGAGAGCTCTGTTGGGTATCAGGGAGGCTACACAATAGGTGAGCAAGAAGTGTCCTTCCATCTCCTGAGCCAAGCAATCCCCATTGCTCTTCTTCCCTGTGGACTTGCCTTGATTGGTGGCAAAGGGATGCTTCAAGGCATTGTGCAGAGGTGAGGCTCGCTGGCGATCTGATCCTGCCTCGATGAGCTCCATACTGTTGGAACCCTGTGTCCAGGCATAGGCCCATGGAAGGCTAAGCTTCTTCAGAATCGGGGCTGAATTTGAACAGAGAGGTGTTTATTTTACTTTTCTTACTGGCAAAAGAGTGGCAGTAATGTGGGTTGGGGTTTTGTTGCTGTGGATTGGGTGTCTCCTGTTGTATAGTCTTAGACAAGTCTACTGAACACACACAACACTTCTGTTGCAGAGCCTCAAACAAGTCTTTATTGGATGCACAAAGAGGCTAAAAACAGTCACACATTTCAGTGCATTTCCTTTCCCTTACAGTCCACCTCTTCTACAGGGAAATTTCCCATATCTGAAAGTGTCCTCAATGTCCTTGTTGGAAAAGAGAGAGGTTTAGATGGTACCAATACCAATGAAACTCCTAAAACTGTTGTGTTGTTTTCTTTCCAGTGAGACTAAAGGGTTCATATTCATTCTCATGATAGATCATAGTGGCTGCAGAGAACTGTTCAGATCCATCATGTCAGAAGAAGGCATTGATGCAATTGTGACGGTTCCATACTGTAGCATCACATTCAATGGAAGGGTTGCTTAGATTCAGTACAGTCTTATCAGGATTGTATAGTGCTTTTCACATCATGGAACCTTTCAGTCTATTACGTGGTGTTTTGTGGATGGATATAGGTCAGTGGTGGACAACCTGTGGCCCGTGGGCCTCACACGCCAGACAGTTTGTTTATATTGGCACAGCCGCTGGCAGCTCCCAGTGGCCATGGTTCAACGTTCCCTGTGGCCCGTGCTGTTCCCGCAGCTCCCATTGGCTGGGATCGGCTAACCGTGGCCACTGGGAGCTGTGGGCGGCCATGCCAATGTAAACAAACTATCTTGCAGCCCGCCAGCGGATTACCCTGACTGGCCGCAGGTTGCCCACCACTGATATAGGTAGATGTGACAGATTCCTAGTGCAGGGCTTGATTTTAGTGATTGACCTCTAAAACTCTAACACCACCATTCAGCTCCCAAAACTGAACAACCCCATTCGATTAAAGTCTAGCTCACTGAAACCTGAACACATCTGAGGTTCATTTATATCCCTAGGGCTGGCATAGGTATTCCAGAATCAAAGCCTCTTTCAAGCTAGAAAATCTGACAAGATGACCAGCATTCTCATCCCTATGCTCCAGCGTTGTCATATATGAACCGGCAGTTCACACTTTGCTTGAAATCCATGTTCAACAGAATGTTTCAGAAGTCCCCCGTGAGATATTCAGATGCAGGTCTGTTCTGTATGGTGGTTGTCACTTCTTATAGCTCATGCATGAGCTTTCCCGCACTAATAGGGCACTAATATGGCTGTTTAAAAGGAAGAAAGCAATTGTTTTTTATGGGAGTGTCATTTTGACACTTACCACTTTGATTTGATTCCTTTTTTCATTCATTTAGATCCCTTGGAGGAGCTACTTGCTATTTTGAATCAAGTTTCTTCTTGTTGGTTGTTCCCTGTCCCCGTTTGCTTGGGTGTAAATGGCAGGTCACAGAGATGACATAGGCAAAATCTGCAAGGTAGACAGGTGCTTCTGCACCTGCACTTCCTTAAATCAAGGCTGTAATACTGTAAATTGCAAACATCTGTGTTGTGGGGCCCTGCACATTCACAATCTCTTTTTCAGCTTGGTTCATCAATTGGTCTTTGGCAGGAAAAACAGAAGAAGCTACATCCTAAAATAGCTCCTCTGGAAGATAGTTAACCTCAAGTCTGCCTGGACTGTGCCACCTTCTTCTGTTCACAGTTCGAACCCACCCCATTACCTGCCTAATAAAGTGAGAGCGCAGATAATCATCAGCGTCATTACAGGAGCCTGCTTCTGTAGATCTGTAAATAAGCTGTTGTTTGCTGCCCTGCATGTGTGTCAAGTGAGATGAAGACAAAATCCCGAGCCTGTCTTTTTAATGCATCCGCTTGGTTGAGCTGACGCTTCTTCAAACTGAACTTTCTTCTGTCTTTCCACACCCAGACATAGCTAAGATGTTCAGTTTGAGTGTTGCCGCAATTTTGCCAAAGACTAATTTAAGAGGCAGCGTACCAGAGCTTCAGCGGATGTAAATCAGCATGGCTCTGTTGACTTTAATGGAGCTATTCCAATTTACCCCAGCACAACATCTGGCCCGGCATTGTTTTAGTAATGTCTCTAGTCCAGCGGTGGCCAACTGGAGCCTGAGAAGGAGCCAGAATTTACCAATGTACATTGCCCAAAAGCAGGGCCGGCTCCAGGCACCAGCCCACCAAGCTTGTGCTTGGGGCGGCACCTGGAGGGGGGCGGTGCGGTGCTCCGGCTCCAGCCACCGGGGAGAGCGGAGCCACGGCCAGGGCTCGCCGCCCTCCCCCGGGTGCTCTGGCCGCTGGGGACAGCGGAGCCCCGACCGGGACTCGCTGCCCTCCCCCCGGGGCTCCGGCCACCCTCCCCTGCCGCGAGACCTTTCTGGAGTGGAGAAACAAACAGACGGTCACCCCACTGCAGACTAGCCAATAGCCTGGTGGTTAGGACACTCTGAATCTGCCTGATTCAGAGGAGGGATTTGACCCTGGGTTTCCCACAGCCCTGAAGAATGACCTGATCACCTGGGTTTTTGTGAGTTCTGAGAAACATTCTTATTTGTGTTACTGTAGTGACCATAGGCACTGGCTTCCTCCAGGCCCTGGAGGTGCTCATCCTTCTGCCCCGCCCACCTCCTTCCCCCAAACCTCCATCCCTGCCCCTTGTCTTCCTGCCCCCAGCTGTGCCCCAGGCCCTGCCCCCAGCTCTGCCCCCACCCCATCTCTTCCCGTCCAGTTCCACCCCCTCCTCTGAGAATGCCACATCCCTGCTTCTTTCCTCTCCCTCCCAGTGCCTCCTGCACACCACAAAACAGCTGATCGTGACTGGCGGGAGGTGCTGGGAGGGAGGGTGAGGAGTTGATTGTCGGGGCCACCGGCGGGTGGGAGGTGGGGAAGGGAAGAGCTGGCTGCCGGTGGGTGCTAAGCACCCACTCATTTTTTGTCGGCACCTATGGTAGTGGCCAGGAGCCAGTATGCTAGGTGCTGTACAAACTCAGAACCAAAAGACGGTCCCTGCTCCTAAGTCTGATGAAATGGAATTTTTCAACCAAAAAAAAAATGTTTTGTCAAAACTGTAGCATATCGTTTTTTGTAAAGCTACTGTGCACCTTTAACTAGGTGCTGTCTTCCACCATAAGGGTAGCTGCATTTCAGCAGTGGATAGTTTGGAGATGTTTCAGCTAGGTTCCCGAAGCTTGGATGCTTATCTCAGTCAAACCTGGTCTTTGAAATCCTGCAGTCTTTCCTCAGTCTGTAGATAGTTTTATTTTTTTGTTTTTGTTGCGTTTGTTTTTATATTTCCATTGCTCACAACCAACTGACCATTTAGAAGTCTCACCGGAGCTTCCTTTCCTTGCAGGTCTTCACAGGGAACACTAATGCAGACAGTGTGGTACATCACAAACTTCTGCACTCCGTGAAAACCCGCTTCCTGCGCTTCGTCCCTCTGAAATGGAATCCCAGTGGCAGAATAGGCCTGAGAGTTGAGGTCTATGGTTGCTCATACAGTAAGTGCCTTTAATGCAAATGTCATCAAATAAGATTGTCAATGTTCCAGGAAGCCCCAGGGAATGTACCTGGCCGAGTACATCTTTTAATCCAGTATGAACATGCACCACCATAATATCTGATTGAGTTGTAGCTTTCATGACAGATAAGCATTACTTGCTGGCTGAGCTCCCTTCCACTAATATCTTATAACATATCATCTTTTCCCCCATACCCTGCAGTTACAGGGAATTAAACAGGTATAAAGGTTAAGGGTCTGAGACTAAAGTAAACTGGAAATATAATCAAGGGATTCATAGACATTTTAGGGAGTATGTTGGCATATGTATTGCATTTATATAAATGCACCTTTCCAATTTCTGTATGGCATATCATTTGACTGTATAAATCTGTTAGTTAGCTGTCTATGCTCTTTACTTGAACAAATTCATCATCTTGACCTCTCCAAACCTTTGCACCCCAACAGTTTTAGATGTAGAGCCATTTTCAAAATTTGACACCCAAACTTGCTTCTTTACAGTTCTACTGTGTCGGGCACTTACTGGGCCAGATCTCCAGCCAATGAAAATCGGCCCAGCTCCATTGTCTTCAATATAACTAGATAGACAGCAGCAGATGATCTGGCCTGCAGTGCACCATTCTGGCACTGAAAACATCCCAACAAACAGAGGGGAGTTCAAAAGAATAGCAACAAAAATAACCAGGGGGCTGGAGGGCTTGATCTGTAAGAACCATGATGTGTACCTTGGCTAAGAGATGACTCAACGTGTCCGCGCATGAATGGGGGAAGATGAGATTGGAGGTGGAACAACCTGGTAATCTACAAGTATTTGAAATACTGAGGTTGGAGGAACTATTTAAGGTGCTACATTGGGGTCTAACTAGGCCTAGTGGGAGGAAGTTATGACAAGGAAAGTTTAGGATGACTATCAGGGCCGACTTCAGAAAATCTGGGTCTCTTCCCCCCCTCCCTGCCCCTTCCAGTACAGCCCTGGATCAGCACCTCTGATAGGAAGGCACAAGAACCAATGTGTGACTGTGAGGGGACACACCCTCGTTCTGGTAGTGAGGAGACTAACAAGGCCTTATGGGCTCAGGCAGCACTAACCAGACACATTTGTAAGGCTTTCCCTGGCTGGAGGGATGCAGCTTAAAAAGGGAAAGCCTGACCTTTTATAAGCATGGTGACTAGGGGGGAAGACGGCTCTATCTTGGAGACTGATGGCTACAGGGACAGATCGATGAGGAGAGAGAGACCGTTGCAGACCCTGCCGCCTCTGATACTATATGGCCAGGCGTAAAGAAACGGAGACCAAAAGGAGGGGCTGGAGGCAGATCTGAACCATGAGGGAGGACACTAGAACTGACAGATAAGCCAAAGGACTGACCAAAAGACTGCCTAAGAGACTGACCACCTTTTTCTTTGACTTTGATTGTCAGTCTCCCAGAGGTGGGGGAGAGGGAAAAGACCCCTTTTGTTGGTTTGTTTTCTGTTTGGAGATTCCCTTGTGGACCATAAACACTGGAAGGGCCCCATAAGCCACCCAAATCGTGGTCTGGTGGGGACTCAGGAGGGACCCTGGCCCACCACGCTGACCTTTTTTCTCACCCTCTCCCCACAAACTCCTAAGTCACAAACATGTGTGGAGGTGCGGGACAGTCGCACAAGAGGTTGGAGAGAGGGCAGGGGAGTTTGGGGGGCTGGTCAGGGGGCGGGGGTGTGGATAGGGGTCGG